CTATTGTGAAACGTAGAGAGAACTTTTGTCAGATTTGATCTAAAAACGTGGATGACAAGTGTTTGGGGAACGCTGATATACAATATATAACTATTAGCAACTAGTCTATTGTGAAACGTAGAGAGTACTTCTGTCAGATTTGATCTAAAAACGTGGATGACAAGTGTTTGGGGAACGCTGATATACAATATATAACTATTAGCAACGAGTCTATTGTGAAACGTAGAGAGTACCTTCTGTCAGATTTGATCTAAAAACGTGGATGACAAATGTTTGGGGAACGCTGATATACAACATATAACTATTAGCAACTAGTCTATTGTGAAACGTAGAGAGAACCTAGCAACTAGTCTATTGTCAAAGGTAGAGAGTATTTCTGTCAGACTTTATCTAAGGGCGCGGGGTGAACTTGTGATAGAGCTTTGGATATCGGGGCCGTGGACCCGGGTTCGAATCCGTGCGATACCACAAAATATTCCCCGTACTTTAAGCTGTAGGTACGTAATAAAAGTGACAGTCAATCCATGGTCGGTGGATGGTAGGGTGCTGCTGGCTAACTGCTTTTCCTATGAACAGTAGTTCAAAAACAGGGACAGCTGCCGATAACTTTAGTAGCTTTGACTTAAATTCATAAATACAAGTTTTATCTAGTGGTGGATCTCATGTAAAAACACGCTGGATGTTTACGTAATAAAATATTAGCTATCAATGTATATAAATATATATGTATTTGGCAGTAGCAGCAACCGCTAGGGTAAATAGGATTTTAAAATTTGACAGCCCTCTGGGTTTTCATATTTTATTACAAGCTAATTCCCCCTCCCCTCCCTCCATGCATGAGCAGGAAGTATTATTATTATTATTGAAAAGAAGGTGAGGGTGAATATTTCTGCATGTTTTAATGGTGAAAATTTCAACATGGTTCGTAAACCTAGCATCACGTAAACGAGGTGGTGGACAGCTGAACACTTGGAAGGAACAGAACATTTCCATTTATTCAACATTGAATGCCTTTTCCATTTATTCGGTTTTAAACGGTATTTAGAATCAAATACGTTTTCTAGATAATAAATCTAGAGAAATATAAGTACAGAATAATACAAAACTTTGCCGTGTTAATTAATCGAAATTATTGCTGATATATAGGCTTTTTTTGTTTAGAAGAATGGCCATTCTGCACGCCCCCTAGTGGCACAGTGGTATGTCTGCGGACTTACAACGCTAGAAATCTGGTTCCGATACCCGTGGTGGGTAGGGTACAGATATCCCATTGTGTAGCTTTAAGCTTAACTATATGCAAACAAACAAACAAGCCATTCTGCAGTCAAACATTTGGTCGTTACAATCTGATTGATTTGAATTTTATTTCAACTACAGATCGTGATACCTGCTTACTGACATCTATGTCCTAACGACTGAAAAAAAAAACAAGTTAAATCACACTACACATTTCCTTCTCCCCCTCCCCTCTGGTGATTCAGCAACAAATCTAGTCTGGGGGAATTATAGCGCTATAAATCGGGTTTCGATACCTTCGGTTGGCAGAGCACAGATACCTAACTTTTCATTCTAACTACAAAATGTAACCCGTTCAGCAAAATCGCAGTTAAACGAAACAGTACTGAAAAAAAAGTATTTATGATAATGATCATTCTACTCCTTTTTTTAATCTAAACTACATAAGATACTATTTCAACCTGATATAAGCTAAGGAAATGTAGAATATGTATAACTAGCGAGATCTTTAACACTGTTGAATGCACTTAAATATGCAGTGCAGTCCATATGAATATACTTGTAAGCAATGACACGTAATAGTGATGAACCAAAATATGACGTAATAGCTGAGGACAAATTAAAATTAAAGCAACGAAGTCGTTTGATTTATTTACAACTTCTATCATGTTATAACTGAGAACAAATTAAAAGACAAATAATTACATTGGATGTGTATATTATAACTTGCTCTGGATTATAACTGAGGACATTTAGAATTTAAGTAATGCGTTAGTTAGTTAGTTTAAAATATTCGTGCAAAGATAAACAAGAGCTATACGCTAGTGAACAACACTAGGGATAGTGGGGTTTCACTGTTATACTTATAACACATCTACGAGTCCACAACCCTAAAGTGCGGATCCTTAAATTCACAATTCGGCACGCTCACTTCTAAGCCACGTCCAACCTCATTTTAGGTCATATTAACAACTTTTGTATTAAAAAAAAATTCATTTCATATATAAATTATATGTTTTTTTTTTATAATTATTAAATATACATTAAAGCTCTTCTTCAGATTGAAAAAAAAAGAAGCTCATATAACAACTTTATTACCTAGTTGTTTCTTCCAAGACATCCGCGGGTTGGGGTACCCTTCAGCAACACAGTCAATTGTCAGTTGTTCACCCCTAATGACGTCTTTATTGACGGGCTCTATCAACCAACGTGGTGGTACTGTATAATATTATAGATTGTAGTTAAAAAAAAATATGCACAAAGATATCTCGCTGCTTCTGTCTATATACTTTTACAATATATAATGCATTTATATCATTATCGTTAGTTTGAAACGTAAAAGAAATACATTTTAAGATATTACCTTACCTGATTATAATTTTAAAGTGAAATACAAAGTAGTAAAACAAATTTTATATGGCTTCTATCTTTTAATAATAATGTTTGGTAGCAATACCAGCGATTATAATTCATTCTATTAACATTCGTTGATTTAATCTATATCCGAAATATTTTAGAAAGTGTAGCAAACAAACAACAACAACAAAAGGCCCATCATGATAGTACCATTGACAACTAAAGCTGTCGTTCTACTGACAGATGCAGCCACGTTTGAGGCATGACACGTGTAGTTTCCTGAATCTCTGTACTTTAGGTGTTTCAAGATCAACATGGACGAATCTTCCAGACTTTGGATTCTTCTACCTCTTTCTCGACTTAGAGGCACGCCATCTTTATCCCACGTGATTCTTATTGGTAGATCTCCTTTAACAATATTACACAGTAGCTTTACCCTCTCTCCTTCAGTCCCCGTTCTTTTCTCGGGAAAGACTTCTTCGTCGATATGAGGCGCCACTAGAGCAAAATGGTTACAAATAAGAAATGTGAATAATATTAAAACCACACATCGATTTCTAAGTAATTCATAAACGAACCATTTATTTATAAAAAAAGGCAGAAACACGCTGTTTCACAAATAAAGGAGATCGAAAAAAAAAGAAAAAGATGAGCTTCAAAGTTTCTGTTAGTATCCAGTGTTGCAGCTGTTGTCTACGTTTATCTGTGGAAAATTTTAAAATTCAACTTTTTTACCGCTTATAAATTATATTTTCGAAGAATATACGAATGGAGGTTTATATGGTGCGGAATACTGCGTAATTAAGTGGTAAGACATTTAAAAAGTTGTTCAAAAAATCCAAAATAAAAATACATAAATATTGTTAAATCAAACATTTATAAGAACTACATAAATGTTTGTGCTCTAAAATTTTATGTTGATAATATGCCATTTTTGTTTGTTTGATTTAGAGCAAAGTTACACAAGGCTTATCTGCACTAACTATCCCTATGTTTCGAAGTGATAAACAAGAGGAAAAACAGCTAGTCAACGTTATCTACTACCAACTAAGGAAAAGCAGCTAGTCAACATTATTTACAACCAACTAAGGAAAAGCAGCTAGTCAACATTATCTACTACCAGCTAAGGAAAAGCAGCTAGTCAACGTTAACCACTATCAGCTAAGGAAAATCAGCTAGTCAACATTATCCACTACCTGCTAAGGTAAAGCAGCTAGTCAACATTATCCACTACCAGCTAAGGAAAAGCAGCTAGTCAACATTATCCACTACCAGCTAAGGAAAAGCAGCTAGTCAAAATTATCCACTACCAGCTAAGGAAAATCAGCTAGTCAAGAATATCCACTACCAGCTAAGGAAAAGCAGCTAGTCAACATTAACCACTATCAGCTAAGAAAAAAGCAGGTAGTCAACATTGTCCACTACCAGCTAAGGAAAAGCAGCTAGTCAAGAATATCCACTACCAGCTAAGGAAAAGCAGCTAGTCAACATTATCCACTACCAGCTAAGGTAAAGTAGCTAGTCAACATTATCCACTACCAGCTAAGGTAAAGCAGCTAGTCAACATTATCCACTACCAGCTCTAGGGTTACTTTTGTCAGAACGAATAGTGGGAATTGACCATCACTCTACTTTCATAATATACCATCGTACCAAAAGTCACGAGACACAGGAAGTTATGAATAAAACATGTCTATATTCCAATAAATTAATAGTGTGTTGGCCCGCCTTTAGCCTTAATGACTGCTTCAATGCGTCGTGGAAGACCGTCTACTAATTTCTGGTAGGAAGCTGGTGGTATTGTGCTCCACTCCGCATTTAAAGCATCAGTAAGCTCCACTACCGAAGAGGACTGATTTCGCCTTGCCTTAATTCTGCGTTCCAGTTCATCCCAAATATGTTATATCGGGTTAAGGTCGGGCTCTGTGCTGGCCATTGCAATGTTCTGATGTTATTCTCTTCAAACCACGCGTTCATAATCCTTTCTTTGTGACATGGACGGTTATCATGTTGGACGGTATAACTACCAGTACCATAAAGTTACCATAACGTAGGACAGACAGAATTGTTCAGAACATCAATGTAGGACTCAGCATTCGTGGATTTATACACCGCGACCAGTGGACCTAATCCATACCACGAGAAGTACCCCTAGACCATGGTCCCACCACCTCCAAACTTCTGTGTTGGGACAACTCCCTGAGGTAATAAGCGTTCTCCAGGCATCCTTCATACCTAGACTGGAAGAGCGTGTAGCATGAATCGTCGCTCTTCAGGACCGATTTCCATTGATCCACTGTCCAGGTTCAGTGTGCCTTGACCCATGCCAATCAACGGTGTACATTTTTGTTTGTTATCAACGGCTTGTGGGCTGCAGCTCTCGAAGTGTCGTGGAAACACTTGTAGGATTGTCTATGGCTGCTCGCACCTCCAAACACAAATTATCAGAGTCTGATCTCGAGATGAGGTAACTAGCCTTTTCAAGGTGCGTCGGCTCCTGTCAGTCAGTATTTTACGCCTACCTGGTCGTTTATTGGTCTCACTGTCACCTGTGGACTTCCATTTCTTCAGCACGTTGCCAATTGTCCACTGGAAATATTTATTTGTTGCGCAATAGAACGTACAGACATTTTACTCAAATAACATCCAACTATCCTTCCCCTCTGAAATTTTATTAGCTCTTTCCGTCTACTCATCGTTTGGCGTACAAGTTCGAAATGACTTCTGAGTGAACCGCTCATCACCTTTATAAACCAAACTATTTGCATATTTCGTCGTCACACCAATTTTCCTGCAATCAGAAGTGTGTCCCATGACTTTTGGTAGGATAATGTATATTCGCAACTCTTATGTGCGGAGCAAACTTTTTTGGGGGGCAGTAACGGAAAGCGAACCATGAGATACCGGCTCACAATACATAATATCATACCCTGACGCTCGATTAAAGAGAATTACAACAGGTTTTTTTACTTAAAC